CTAACTACTCTTTCAGTGGCTGCCCTTTCCATTCCTTCTTTTCTAGAATGATTGGCCCCCTGTAAGTGGGAGTTCTAATGATTATTAAGGGTTAAGGTGAAACTACAAATTAATTAGACAGTGCGTTTTTATATTTGTATTTATTTAAAATGTTTGTTTTGGAATTTTAAAGTAGTTTAAGCAGAGGAAAATCTGTATATGCCTCTGTAGCTGGGTACATCTGTATTTGTATACCTGGAGTTCTTAAGTAACAGTGGAATGAAAAGGAACTCTGTGCAGAATTTACCCAAAATTGGATTAGAATTTTTGATGTACTGCCTAGATACTGGAAATTAATTTGCTGAGTTCAAAAAGGAATTAATCGCCTTTCAGTTTAGTCTCAGAATAATTTCATTGCAAATTAAACCTATGAGTATTCACTCATAAATATATCTGGCACTATCACTTGCTTAGAAGCAAGCACTGTCCATACTGATTTTGTTTACTATTCATAATGGTTCTGCAGACTTTCTTGTTAAATTCAGCTTTTCATAAATCTCTCGTAAGTTTTAAAAATATGAAACTACAGAAGTAGATAAAGCTTACGTAGGCCTGGAGGAAACAGTAGGCTTAATTTTGCTCACAGTGACCTCAATAAAAGCAATATTTGTTGTTTCCTGCGCTCTCTTTTTCTGCTGTCGCTATGAAAAACACTTGATTTATATTGTTATAGCATCTTCTAGGCCCCAGCATGGACTGTGGCAATGTGGAGCTCTACAAAGAAATAACAAACTCTCTAGGATTTTAAGGTCATTTTGTCTTTTGGATTGAAAGGCTTTTGCACAAGAGCTTTCCTTCCCTATTGTGTCTAACCAAAGGTCTCAAACCATTTTGACCCCCTTTCTCCATGGATATTAATAATATAAAATAAGTTTAACATAATAATTGTGTGTATATATATATATATAGTAGTGGTTGACTAAATACTCCTCATCTCACTGACATGTTCTCAATTCTCACAGTGTTTTATTAAACGGTGTTCTGTTCTTCTGATACTACATTATTTCCTTAGAAACCATGGTAGATGCTCATCCTCTTGGTGGTAAGACAGTCAGGAGATGGAAAGATAATTCATTCCTAGAAGAAGGAACTCAACAATTTTATGGTGAAAAGATACCAATTTTTTTTCCTTAAACCACATCCTTCTCGTGTTATTATTGAGTATTAATGTACTGTCATCATATGTGCATTGGAATGGATAAGCCAAGGAAACACAAGTGAAGGGCTTTCAACTGCTGAGAAACGATGTAGGTGCATCAGCAGAAAGTGTCCCTGTGCATGGAAGCAGATAAATGTGCTGAATCTGTGCTTACGAGGTTGTAGATTTTCAGAGTTGTCTTCAAGCCCTTGTTGCGATATGTGAGAGTCAGTGTTCACATCCTGCTTACCACTGTAGGTGTGGTATGATATTAACTTGCCAAGAAATGGACTTCTTAAACTATGAGCAAGTTAAGAAAGTAATAGCCTGTTTGTACAAAAAGAAGCGAGAAACACCATGAAATCCAGTAATAAATTTGTTCTGTTACTCCGATTTAGATGAGTAGTTGGAAAAAAAGGACCTCAGAGAAAATAAATTCAGATATTAAACACTAACCCTGGTGTTCCAGAACTGCACGATGATAGAAATTGTTCTGTGTGGTGAAAACGCTAAAAAGTCTTCTGGGATCTCCAATGGAGGAAACACCAATTTACCTCGTTCTCTCTCAGATCCAGAGATCTAATGCCTTCATTTCCTCCTTTTTCTTTACTCCTTTACATTAATGTTGGGCATTTTGTCTGTGGTGTGGAGAGGAATTAATTTTAGTATTTTGATTCTGAAACCTTCTCTGGCTCTGATGATTCCTCACAGTGCTGGGCACAGATTCCTGAGGCTACGTGGCAAAAAGCACTGAAATCTTTCTTGCTGTTCTAATTGTAAGTGCATGTGTACGTGTATTAAAACTCCCACTTAGCAGTCCCACCGGCTGAAAGAGCAGGGAGGCTGCATTGGTGTTTCACCTCTAGCAGAGACATTGCTAGAGAAGTGTGAGACACTCAAACTGCTGTTGCCCATATTCTGTCTGTTCTGTGAATAAATAGGTTGTCAATCCAGCACTTCAAACAAGCACTTTCTTCTTTAACCTAGCTCTTTGACGTTTTCCATTAAGCATACTGTAATAGAAATGATGAGTAGAATTTCTCTACACACCAGGAATAGCAGCAACCTGTCTGCTTATCGTGAAAGGCCCTTTTCTCTGCTGTGACGGGGCGCTTCACGCTGTGGCAGATTGCTTCTTAAGGTTAGATGTTGATAGCCCTTCCCTCTGTGACTGCCTTACTCTTTGACGACCTTGCCCTGGGAGTGAATGCGTAGGACAGCCAGGAGGTGACACGCTGCTCGGTGTGAGCTTGGGCTGCAGAATGAAAGCCAGCTCTCACGAAGCTCTCAGTATTAGGATACACTTTGTGCAGTTGCGACTTTCAAGCAGAGACCGTGTGTCCAGCTGTGAGCGCTGAGCTTTTGCTGAGGCTCCCACAGCTCCTCGCTCGGGCACTTTGCAACCTTGTCCAGCGACAAAACCAGTTGCAGGACATCAGAGCCTGTTAAGCGCGTGCAAATACTGTTTGGGCAGAGGACGTTCGTCGGTACTAATCACTGCAAACATGCACTTGCAGATTTTTTGGAAGAAAACTTGTAAGGAATAGTTCATAATGGAGCTCTGTGGTCTAGCTGGTCAACAGCCTGTTAGAACAAATTTTAATCTACCAGACTGTAATATTAGATACGTATTCTTGAAAGCATAAATAGAAATGCATATATGAACACATACATGTATGGAAACATGCATAACCTTGCAAAATGTCTAAAAAGTTTTCCCTTACTTAAAGCTATTTTGAAAGTTAATACATCATTAATTTAATAGATCTTTTGAGGAAGACAATATTGTCCAAGTACCTGGATGTTCTTGTAGGCTACTGCTGGGTTTTTTTCCCCCTTCCTTCTGATATTTATGTTACAGAAACACAAAGTCTGTCTTTGCAAGGCCAAAGTTAAATAAACTCTGTAAGAGGTAGCGTAGTGTTTCCTAGCAACATCATGTCTGTACCAGTGATGCTGCTTCTCTCTTTAAGCTCATCGCAGTCATGTCCATTAATCTCCAGCTGCACATAAAACTTTCCCGAGATTTTGCTGTCTCCCTACTGTTCATGTTTTCATCTTGCTCGTATGCTGCAAAGCAAACTGCTTCAGTGATTTAATTCTCTTCAGTGCCTCAGTATAAAGCCAAACGTGTGTGTATATTCACAATTACTATTTGTTTTTCATTTAAAACAAATAAATCGTCCTGCAGTGTGATGCCTCCCCTTAGACATTATTGCAGTCATTTAGACAACCTGACGAAAGAGATAAAACAAATGCCGTGGAAATATATTACCTGTGCTGCAAAAGTAGGTACAGTTTCTTATAGCTGAGATATATAATACCAAAATTACCTTAAAATTAAATGAAAGGGGTGCTGTAATATTTATTTTTTTTTAATACACAACAGCATTGAAATAAAACTTCTAGGGCTTGTTTCTCTGTGCTGATAGCTTTAAGTATAAAATGAACTGGGTGGTCTTGGCCCGGTTTACTGCAGTCTGGCTGATAGGTTGCCCATTAATTGCTTGGTGCTCTTAAAATACCTGGGGAAGGGAGCGGAGTGTACTTATCAGTCACAGTTTGGGGTCACAGTGGCAAAGGACTAACGCAGCCCCTTGGCGAGCCCTGAGCGGGCTGCGGCAGGTCCCTGCAGATCTTGGTGCTCACAATGTCCCATCGGGGCTGGTGGAGGGAGAAATGAGAAAGCAGGAGTCTCTGTGACCTGTTCTGAGATTACATTTTCTGACCAACAGCAACGAGATGAGTGGGATGGCAGTGTTAGGCTGTTTTTCCAGCCCGAATAAGAAAGCTGGTGAACGATAGGGATCCCACATCTGTTGTCAGTGCGGCAACAGAGCCTTCCTCTCCTGCTTAGGCTAAGGAAAAGGTGCTATGAGAGGAGTCTCAAATCTTCTGTCACCTCCGCAGACAAATGCACAAGCTTGTGTGGATTGAGTGTTGATGGATTTGATTGTCTATACCAAGGCTGGAATTCAGTTTTCTTACATTTTTTCATAACGACTATTCAGTAAGATACAGTAGTGCCTCCTGACACTCATTTACTTTGGGGAAAAAGCAGTCGAAGTATTCTCTTAGCCATGAGCATTTTGTTAGAACATAAAAGCACCTTAGGTAATTAATATTTGTGTTCCTAGTTCAGCTCTCACTATACAGTAAGTCTCACCATGTCCATGGTTAATTCAAAACATACATACTTTCCAGAAAGCGTGAAATGTTACATAGCAATGTAAGTCCACTTAGTGTTAAATATGTAGGTCTTTTAAAATGCCTGTTAAAAAAAAATAGTTTTGAAACTATTTGTTTAAACTTTGTGTTCAGAGAAGCTCTGGAGAATTATGCAACGCACAACATAAAAGGCACTCTGAACGTTGACGTACTTGTTGAAGAAGACATTTTCCCTTGTGTGTGTGTATGCACATATGTGTGTGTATGCACATATGTGTGTATGTACACATATGTATGTCTATACACATAGGTACAGTGGGAAAAACAAGAGGCTGTGATCTTTTGGCAACAGACAGTAATTTCTGTCAGCTCAAGATCTGAACCTTTGCAGGGTTCTTAAAACACATATTATGGCTGATGGTAGGACTCCTCCTGCCTTGTGGCTTGAATTAAATCCCCATTTCTCTGAGGCGTCCCCTCTCTTTACCCTTCTCCTCCTCCTCCTCCACCCCAGGGCAGTGACTGGGCGCCAGGAGAACCGTTTGTCCCACGGGCAGGAACGAGCCTTTTTGTCTGCACAGTGATGCCGGCAGGGGTCTGCGTGGCAGAGCGAGCGCCTGTGGCTTGTACTCACCTTCTCCGTTTCTTCACCCAGATGGCTGCCCCGACCTGTGCAATGGCAACGGGAGGTGCACGCTGGGTCAGAACAGCTGGCAGTGCGTCTGCCAGACCGGCTGGAGGGGGCCTGGATGCAACGTTGCCATGGAAACCGCCTGCGCCGATAACAAGGATAATGAGGGAGGTGAGCAAAAAGTCTTTCGGTTCCCAGTCCCCGAAGAACAGAGGGTTGCACGTGCTGGCTTCATGAGCCTTCGGAAAGGCTTCGGCTGAGTCGTTGGCGAGGGTTGGTATTGTGCTTCTTTTGACCAAATGAGACCAAGTGAACTGTGGTCTCGGGGATGGACATGGGCCCACAACGGCCGCCTCGGGAGCGGGGGGCCGGCTCAGTGCACCCCTCCTTCTGCCGAAGCCCACGGTGGAGAAAGGGGCCCGGCAGACGGGAAAGTTTTCCTGCAGACTCCTGACGCGTGTGAACTGCAAAACCATTTCCCGCGGCTGTGAGCGCATGCGAAGCAGCGAGTTGAGCAGAATGTTTAGCAAGATTTTGTCCCTCTGTGCTGGAGGGCAGGGTCACGCTGTCGTGTCCACGCCCCACCTGAGCGGTTGTCACTTGCTGTCGCAGCGCACCGAGCACATACCTGGCTTTAAAGGGCTGAGGGAGGTGCATGAACACTCATACACAGTCAGGCTCTGATATCCCCGTTCAGTTTTCCTTCTCCTTTATCAGGCATATCCCGATCAAATATAGAATTTGTGTTCCGTGTTTACCTTCAAAGATAGCCTTAGTTTATCTCATTTTGTAAGGCGTTCCATGGTTTATTAGGCTATGCTGGGCTGAAAGCACTTCTGAGAAGTTGTGCAATATAAATAGGATCACCTACTCTCTCTCTTTCATTTGAAGTAGCTTTCTTATTCCTTTCATTACAATGTCTTTAGTAAGTCACGTAGATTCTTTTTCACGTGCTTCTGCTCTTCATTCAAATTCAAACATCAGACACAGCTTTATTCCTCGAGACTCCTTTGCTTTTCCTTGGCCAATAATTAATCTAAAGAGCATATCTGTTATTTACTGATTAATATATATTTTACTCATGATACTTCTTAAAACTGCAAGGAAGCATTTGGCTTATTTAAATGGCTGCTTCTAAGGTAAAATTGTTACTGAGTGTTTTAATTTTATGTAAGTTTTTAGGGTATAGAAATTGTGCCGAAATGAGGAACAGGTATATTTGGTTTTGATTACATTATATTAACCACATCTGAATATCATCCACTAGTTTTAATCTGTAAATCTGCAGTGAGTTCCTTGGTTTCACATGTGATCAGTGCTTGCAGAAATATTTTAAAAGTGCTAGAGCTGACTTAATATCAGAAAACCGAAACGTGCTTTATAGCTGTTACTGAGTTGTAAAGATCAGAATCTGACAGATCACAGTAGCTGGCATTTAACTGTACAACAAAACCATCTATATGTGTGTTAATGCATGGTGTAAGAAACTAAAAGGTAACCTGTTTAAGCTTGCAATTTTTGCAGGCTTTGAAGATTATAAAGGAAAATTTGAAAATGCGTGTATCATCAAAACAAGGGGTGAGTTTGGAAAATATTATTAGAAATGCAAGAACTAGACATTTATTTATCTATCCAAGACAATATTCTATACTTGTAAAACACAACAGGCAAACAGGGTAGAAAATGACCACTTAGACCTTTCAGCTGTTCATCCCAATTTAAAATTGCAGAATTCTAGAACTTAGGTCATGGAAGGCAAATTAGTAGTTCCTTTAAGTCAAAGTATACCTAGAATAAATCCGCCATACAAGAGACCTATAATATTAATCAGCATTACTGTGCAAGGCGCATGGTTTCTGATTACCAGAGTCCCACCTGACAGAAAACTGGTTGGTCTAGCGGAAGGCTGGAAAGATTAAGGGAATGACTCTGCAGACGTTCTCAGCACTTGCAGGCTGAAGTTTGGTTTTTTTCAGGAGGCTAGAGAGGTTCCTGCTCATCACTGCTTGTAGGAATCACAGACTGTCAGGGGTTGGAAGGGACCACGAAACATCGTCTAGTCCAGGCCCCCTGCCAGAGCAGGATCACCCACAGTAGGTCACACAGGAACGCGTCCAGGCGGGTTTGAATGTCTCCAGAGAAGGAGACTCCACAACCTCCCTGGGCAGCCTGGGCCAGGGCTCTGTCACCCTCACAGGGAAAAAGTTTTTTCTAATATTTTTTGTGGAACCTCCTGTGTTCCAGCTTGTACCCACTGCCCCTTGTCCTGTCACTGGACATCGCTGAAAAGAGCCTGATTCTGTCCTCCTGACACTCCCCCTTGACATATTTATAAACATTTATGAGAATGTAGATGGTTTGAAAATCTGTGTCTCTGTTCCAAGGTCCAAACAACCTGAAAAGCCCATTTAATCCACTCATTTTCATGTAGGGATCTTACAATGAATGCAGAAATGAATCTCTTGTCTCCTGACCCTTCACTCAGTACTTGAACCTGATCATTCCTCATCCTTAATAAGTTCCTATACAGTTTTTCTGTAAGGGAGCTTAGGGTACGTTTGACACCTGTTCCTCCACGTACTTGCAAGGTACTCCTGAAACACCGACCAGACGAGCCCTTTGGTGCTGCCAGACTGTGGTTTGCAGGTGGCAGAGACTGAGAGTTACCCACAGGCTGTGGGTGATTTTTGCTGTTCCACTTTGCTCGATGGTATTTTGAGTTTCAGATTTCTTTGAGATATGTGCTCTGTAAGGAAAAAGACTTTGTCATTCCCATCAGTTTCTCGAATTGCAAGTCACAAGAGCTACAGCAGAACTCAAACGTGAATATAGCGTTAATCACGTAATACTTTGTATCTTAGAGTGCGGTTCTGCCCTTGCCTTAAGCTATGCTCATTTTCA